TCTGCATTTTCGCTGTTGGAGTATAGAAATGCTACTGATTTTTGTGTGTTGATTGATTTTGTATCCTGCAACTTCGCTGAAATCACTTATCAACTCTAAGAGTTTTTTGGCAGAGGCTTTAAGCCATTTAATATATAGGATCATATCATGTGCAAACACAGACAATTTGACTTCATGTTTTCCGATCTGGATGCCCTTTACTTCCTTCTCTTCTCTGATTGCTCTGGCTAGTACTTCCAACACTGTGTTGAATAGGAGTGGTGAGAGTGGGAATCCTTGTCTAGTTCCTGTTCTTAAGGAATGGTATTGGATGATATTGGCAGTGGGCTTATCATATATGGTTTTAACTATGTTGAGATACTTTCCATCTATACCTAGCTTGTACAGAGTCTTTATCATGAACAAATGTTGAATTTTGTCAAATGCTTTTACAGCATCTGTACAGATGATTGTATGGTTTTTGTCTTTGATTTTATTGATGTGGTGTATCATTTATTGATTTGCATATGTTAAACGAACCTTGTACCCCTGGGATGAATCCCACTTGATCATAGTGTATAATTTTGTGTGTGTGTTGCTGTATTCTGTTAGCTAGTATTTTATTGAGGAGTTTTGCATCTAATATTCATCAAGGATATTGGCCTGTAGTATTATTCTTTTTATGTATCTTTGTCTCTTTTTGGTATCAGGGTGATGTTTGCCTCATAAAATGACCTCTATTTCAATCTTTTGGAATACTTTATAGAGAATTGGTATCAATCCCTCTTTGAAGGTTTGGTAGAACTCTGCAGTGAACCCATCCAGTCCTGGGCTTTTCTTCGTTGGAAGACTTCTGATAATAGTTTCAATCTCTTTTATTGTTATTGGTCTGTACAGATTTTCTATGTCTTCTTGGCTCAGTTTTGGTAGTTTGTGTGTGTCCAGAAATTTATCCACATCCCCCAGATTTTCAAATTTGTTGGCATATGGTTGTTTATCATAGTCTCTAATGATTCCTTATATTTCTAAGGTATCAATTGTAATATCACCTTTTTCATTTCTAATTTTTGTTATTTGGGTCTTCTCTCTTCTTTTCTTAGTTATCCTTGCTAAAGGTTTGTCAATTTTATTTATCTTTTTAAAAAGCCAACTTTTTGTTTCATTGATCTTTTGTATCATTTTTCAGGTTTCTATTTCATTTAGTTCTGCTCTGATCTTAATTATTTCTTTCCATCTACTAACTTTGGGTTTGGACTGTTCTTGTTTTTCTATTTCTTTAAGGTGAAGTGTTAGGTTGTTTACTTGCCATCTTTCCATTCTTCTGAAGTAAGCACTTAATGTGATAAATTTCCCCCTTAGTACTGCTCTTGCAGTATCCCATAGGTTTTGGTATGATGTGTCATTATTTTAATTAATTTCAAGAAATGTTTTGGTTTCCTGTTTAATTTCTTCTTGGACCCATATGTCATTAAGTAGAATGTTGTTTTATTTCCATGTGTTTGTATAGTTTCCAGAGTTTCGTTTGTTATCAGTTTCTAATTTTAATCCATTGTGATCTGAAAAAGTGCGTGGAATAATTCCAATATTTTTGAATTTGTTGAGACTTGCTTTGCGACCTAACATGTAGTCTATCCTGAAGAATGTTCCATGTGCTGATGTGAAGAATGAATATTCTGAGGTTGTTGGATGGAATGTTCTGTGGATATCTGCCAAGTCCAATTGGTCTAATGTATTGTGTGGATCTTGTGTTTCTCTATTGATTTTTTGCCTAGATGATCTGTCCAAGGTTGAGAGTGGAGTGTTCAGGTCCCACACTATTATGGTATTAGTGTCTATCTCATTCTTTAGGTCTCATAGTGTTTGCTTTATAAATCTGGCTGCTCCAATGTTGGGTGTGTTTGTATTTATGATTGTTATGTCTTCTTGATGGATAGATCCTTTTATCATTATATAGTGGCCTTCTTTATCTCTTTTTATGGTTTTTGGTTTATAGTCTATTTTATCTGATATAAGAATAGCTATTCCAGCTTGTTTTCATTTCTATTGGCATGGTACATCTTTCTCCATCCTTTCACTATTAGTCTATGTGTGTCTTTACAGGTGAGGTGAGTCTCTTGAAGGCAGCATATTGTCGGGTCCATCTTTATAATCCAGTCAGTCACTCTATGTCTTTTGAGTGGGGAATTTAATTGTTTTACAGTTAGAGTTATTATAGAAAGGTGTAGATTTACTCCTAGCATTTTATTGATTTTTGTTTAGATGTCTTAAGTATCTTTTCTTCCTTTCTTTCTGATTTCTGTTTGTCTTCTGTGTTTGTTGGTTTCTTGGGGAGATAGATAAATTGTTTTTTCTCTTTATTGTTAGCATTTTTGTTTTACTGGTGGGTTTTGTTCTTTCTTGAGTATTCATGGCAGTGATGGTTGTTTTTCAGGTACCAAATCCAGTACGTCCTTGAGAATTTCTTGTAGGGCTTGTCATGTGGTAGTGAACTCCTGCAGTTTTTGTTTGTCTGAGAAATATACTATTTGTCCTTCATTTCGGAAGGATAGCCTTGATGGGTAAAGTACTCTTGGCTGGCAATTTTTGTCCTTTAGTATTTTGAATATATCATCCCATTCTTTTCTGGCTTTTAGGGTTTGTGATGAAAAGTCTGATGTTAGTCTTATTGGGGCTCCTTTATAGGTTACCTGATGCTTCTCTCTTCCAGCTTTTAAGATTCTCTCTTTGTCTTTGAGATTTGCCAGTTTGACTATAACATGTCTTGGAGAGGACCTTTTTGGGTTGAATATGTTTGGGGATCTTTGGATCTCCTGAATCTGAAGATCTGTGACTTTCCCTGTACCTGGGAAGTTTTCTGCTACTATTTCATTGAATATGTTTTCAATGCTATTTCCTTTTTCCTCCCCTTCTGGACTACCCACGATTCAGATATTTTAGCATTTAAGGTTGTCTGTTATCTCTCTTAGATTTTCTTCAATTTTTTAACTTCTTTTTTCCTTTTTTTTTGGTCCATCCACATTAATTCAAACAGCCCATCTTCAAGGTCAGAAATTCTCTCTTCTGCTTGTTCTAGCCTGCTGGTTAGACTTTCTCTTGTGTTTTTTATTTCATTGAATGAATCATTCAGCTCCACAAGCCCTGCTACATTTCTTTTTCAGGGCATTGATTTCTTTGTACATTTCTTCTTTCAGGTTCTGTATAGTTTTTTCTCATTTCATTGTGTTGTATAACTGAGTTTTCTTGTATCTCATTTAGTTTCCTTAGAATTGTTGCTTGAAATTCCTTGTCAGTCATTTCAAGGACTTCCTGTTCTATAGGATCTAGAGGCTGAGAGTTATTATTTTCCTTTGATGGTGATGTACTTTCTTGATTTTTCATATTTCTGGTATCTTTCCTTTGGTGTTTAGTCATTGTGGCAGCGGGTATCATGCTCCACTTGTTCCACCCTTATGCCTGGCCTGGATCCTGAAGGGACTGTCAATTCTGGGCAGTGGGGACTGGCCTGGGCTGGGGGAGTCTCACAGCACCAGCCTGTTCCAGCATGGCTGGCCCAGTGTGTGGCTCAGTGTCTGGCAGCCCTTGGGCCTCTCCAGGTGGCAGGGACTGGCCTGGGCTGGGGGGTCCCATGGAGGGAGGCACCTGCCTGTTCTGGTGCAGCTGTCTCAGGGCGTGTGGGCCTGGCAGCTCTCGGGCCTCTCTGGGTGGCAGGGACTGGCCTTGGCTGGTGATCCTGTGAGGCCTGTCTGTTCCAGCGTTGCTGACTCAGGGCATGTGGGCCTGGTGACTCTCAGGCCTCTCTGGGTTGTGGGGACTGGCCTGGGCTGGAGGTACCGCAGCAACTCCATCTAAAGTTTTGAAAGCCTTTAAATGCAATTGCTGTTTTTTTTAATCCTACTATACAACCATTTAGATTTTCAAAACAGATAAATTAGAAAAGGATCAAATCTTCCTCAAAGGTGGACAAGAAGTAGACGGAGAACCCATACATGTTATAGTGCCCTGTAGCCTGAAGGAGAACTGTGGTATCCTTGCTGGGTGGGCCTAAACATTTTTCTCAAGGAGGCCAAAACCCTGACATTGTTAGGTGGGTTTTAAGATTTCTCTAAACAGCCAACTCCCTTAGATTGTTGGAAATAAGAATTGCATTTTTAAAATTCTGTTTTTGTAACTTTTAGCAAACTATCCATTGCATAAAGTGCCATTGTATATTATTTCGTCTATCTTTACATATTCTTCACTTAAAATTCGATTTAGGAAGTCATATACTGTGAAAATAGAGAAGAATGGGTTGACATTCATATTCTCCTGTGGTTTTAGTTTCAGAGTATTAATTCTGCCTCTGCCCTTTTTATCCCAATTTGTAACTCAAAGCTTCCAGAAATGGAAACTTTTAAGACAGCCAGTCTACCCTCAAGACAGAAAGACTTTGAGAAAAGATGTCTTCGTTGTTGTCAGCATTCCATTAACTCTGTTCTATGGAAGTTGTCCCCCAGTATCCAATAACATACTACCTGAGCTAGTGTCACTTGGTTATTTCTATTAAGTTTAACTAAAACTGTAATAAGTTATTTTTCAAGTGATTCCTATTTGTAAAAGGAAAAATTTTGATTATCCTTTTCTCTTTATAAGAAAGTAATTTTCTTACAGGTAAAAATAATTTTATATGTAAAAAAGCATTTAGAATATTTTTTAAATATTCCAAGTAATCCTTAGAGGTATTTTTCTGAAGTATAGGTTAGTTTCAAAGATCTTCTGTGTCCTGCCAAATAAAATGAATTTTGCTCATGGAAACCACACGTTTTTAAAATACATAAATTGTTACCACTTTAGAAAGAATGTTGGGTACTGAGTACTAGGAGATGCAGAGGGAATGGGAATTTGAAAATATTTTCAAATCACCAACTTTAGTTTTTTTAAAAATTGTCCTCCCAAGTACTTATTATCTGTTGTTTAGTTATAACAAAATTGTCTCTGTTAAAACTCACCCAAATATGAATCCATTTTCAACTAGATTTGTGACCATGGATAACTGCGGTATTGATGTCCATGACTATATTTTAGAGTATATTGTCTAGATATTACAATTTATTTATTTGTTCATTTATTTTCCCATTCAAATGTATTTTAGTATCTATGTTCAAAGCACTGTTTTATTTATTTTTTATTGGTTATGAACATTCATGAAGTGTAGAGCAAATTGTCACCACTCATGCCTAAGATATGACGGCCAGACCCATACTGGCAGCTTGCTCATTACCACAAATTGTGACTATACCCCCTGTTTTAGAAGCTATGAGTATGATAACTGGCCAAAGACTCTTTCCTCAAAAAGCTTATAGTCTGTTAATTGAGATAATGCTTGTAAATAAATGACTATAATAATATGAAAAGCAACAGAGACCCTAAGCTAGGTATAGTCAACTAGCTATGAGAGTTCAGAGAAGGGCAATATTCTGGGTCGAGAAGAATTTGGGATAGTTTGCCTTGTAGAGAAGGTTGCATTTGGCTTGCATGTTGGAAGATGTTTAAGAGTGGAACATTTAGGTACAGTCATGGCAAATACTCCAGGCAGAAGAGAGATACAAAAATTTGGAGTCACATGTAGTTCAGCCCAAGTGAAGTGGAGAGTATGACGGGGAGGGAGACTGGAAAGTCAGTAGAGGCTGGATAATGGAGCTTTTGAATATCTGACTAAGATGCCTGGTTGTTTTTATACTCAGTAGTCAACAGGCAGCCAGCAAAAAGTTCTGAGCTTGACGTTCTGAGCAGTAATGTGCGTAATCTGTATTACAGGGAGAGCAAATTGAACACAGAAGAAAGTTGGTGTTCCCTCTGGGAGATAATGAATGCTTCAAGTAGGGAAGTGTCAGTAATACCCATCTTTGCAGAGATTCTGCACAAGTAGATAAAGGAAGCATAGGGATGTGGGGCAAAGAAAGGAGAGGAAGCAGGTGTGACCCAAAGTTTTTAACTGTGATTCTATAAAATAACACAAGCCACTAAAGCAGGGTTCTCCCAGGCAGTCTTTCTACTTGTCAGTCCTCTTGGTTTCTGTCTGCACAGACATATCCTGAAGAACCATGTACTTAGTTAAAAAGACGAAAGCAGGTGTCCACTTCTGTCTTGTTCAGTAAGTTGCAGTGAGGCAAGAGTTATAAGTCAGCCCCTCTGCGGGCCGGCCTGGTGGCACACTGCTACAGTGCGCCGCTTGGGAGCGTGGCGGCGCTCCCGCCGAGGGTTCGGATCCCACATACAGACCAGCGGCTCACTGGCTGAGCGAGGTGCGGATGCAACACCGAGGGTTGTGATCCCGTTGCCGGTCCCGGTCCGGTACGGGCGCGACACTGAGGGTTGTGATCCGTTGCCTGTCACGAAAAAAGACAAAAAGGAAAAAAAAAAAAAAAGTCAGCCCCTCTTGCAGGCTTCAGGAATTGTTTGGCTGTGATAATCACAAAACTCTAACTTGGCTGTGGCATCATAGGCTTCCTAAGTTACAACTTGCCACTTCCTACTTGTTACAACTTACAGCTATTTTATTTGCATGCTTACTCATTTTTTGCCTGACAAAATATAAGCTCCAAAATAACATAAGTCATGTCTCTTTTTTTATCACTGTATTCCTAGCACCAAGAACAGTGTCTGACACTTCATAGGAGATACTCAATAAGCAGTTGTTGAATGAGTGAATGAACCCACCTGTTCAGAAATCTCTATATAGCCTAAAACTGTGATGATTTACTTCTAGATAATTCAATTAAATATAAAAAGTTGCAAGAGTTGCTACTTATCTTCTTTAATTTTCAGAGTAACATATTCCTGTAAAAAGTGTTCATATGATTTCCACAGTGATATTTGGGAAATAGAATATAAGTATTCTCCTGAATTTCTTAATTTTCATTGAAACTCTGTGGTGCCGCACTGTGTGTGGTGTTTTTCAGCCTTTAAAAAGATGAAATAGAACAGAGAGTAAGATATGAAATAGTCTGCATTGCACGTGCTTAGTATAATTTCAAAAAACTTTACTCTGTGTATGTTGGGAGGGTTGCAATGTAAAATTATTTTGTGCAATGATTCAAAGTCAATATACACTCTGGTATTTCCCATATTATCCTAATCCCTTATCTGGCTGCTGTCATAGCTCTTCAAAGCCAGCCTTGAATTGTCATTTTGCAGTGTTATGATTCCTTGTGGCCTATTTGCAATAGAAGCCTTCCCACAAATGCACACAAAAATTCAATTTCTTAATGTTTTCTTTTAGATCAACCAAACTAAACCTCTCTCAGGATGCTTGAGCTCACTGTAAAGTGCATTTCCAGAGTTCTTTTCACTACAGAATGCTAGGCTGCTTTTAATTTAACCAGGAAAACACACTCACACCTACACACACACATACATACTCAGAGTAGAACCGTGGTGAGATTTGCTGTTCTTTAAATCAAGAAAAATTTGAAACAAGATTTGACAAACAATAGAAATAATTGCTAAAATAAAATTTAACTTCCTTTTTTCTTTTGTTTCTCTCTCTCTCTTTCTCTCCAAGCTGCCTGCCTTGTGCTTGGCTGTATGATTTTCCCTGATGGCTGGGATTCAGATGAAGTGAAACGGATGTGTGGAGAAAAGACAGACAAGTACACTCTCGGGGCTTGTTCAGTCCGCTGGGCATACATCCTGGCTATTATTGGAATTTTGGATGCCCTGATCCTTTCATTTCTAGCATTCGTGCTTGGTAACCGACAAGACAGCTTGATGGCAGAAGAACTGAAGGCAGAAAACAAAGGTAAGGTTGCTTTAGGGAACTCTTACCTGGATGCTTCAAGCACAAAACATGGTACTGTCCATTTTTCCAGTCAAGCACGAGGACTTCCCCTGTGGTTCTAATTTGCAGCATCTTTCAATACTGTAGTTCACAGACTTCCCCCGATGCAACTCAAGAAGTTTATATAATTGTGTTTCCTTATCTTTCTGAGGTTCTCTGAGTCCATAATTATTATTTAAATGCATTTTTCCAGTTTCTTCTTCCCACCTTCTCTGATTTCTGGTTTACCATTAGGAAGCTAAGATGCAACTTTTTCTTTTTTTTTTTTTTTTTTTTTGACCTATGTAGTTGAATAGAAAGTGCTTCCTCATCATATATTCAGCTATTTTCCAGATTGAAATAAATGCCTGGGGAATCTCTAACATCATCTATAAACATCTTTATTAAAGTACTTGCAATCATTTTATTTGAATTCAGACTCATCATCTCAGACAGAGGTGGTAATAATGTCCCCAAATAGTTATAGTTAGAGATCTCAGTAGTTACCTAATTAGCTGAATTTTAAATGTGTTATCTGGGTAATCAAAATCCTCAGATTTCTTTTCAAAAGAACTTTTTTTTTTTTTTTTTTTTTTTTTTTGACCTATGTAGTTGAATAGAAAGTGCTTCCTCATCATATATTCAGCTATTTTCCAGATTGAAATAAATGCCTGGGGAATCTCTAACATCATCTATAAACATCTTTATTAAAGTACTTGCAATCATTTTATTTGAATTCAGACTCATCATCTCAGACAGAGGTGGTAATAATGTCCCCAAATAGTTATAGTTAGAGATCTCAGTAGTTACCTAATTAGCTGAATTTTAAATGTGTTATCTGGGTAATCAAAATCCTCAGATTTCTTTTCAAAAGGAAATTGCCTTCTAAAACACAAAGAAACTAGGATAGAAAATAGGACACTGACTAGCGAATGATACACAAATACATTTCAGTGGGTGAATAACAGATAGCAAGTTATTATTCAAGATGAATCTTTCAGTTTTTTTTCCAGATTTCTAAACCAATTTCTTGGGATAGAATTTCGAGGTCTCTGTTTTGTTATAGACTTAGCTTTGTTTAACTGTTTTATCTTTATGTTATATTTAACTTTAATACTTTGGGCTTACATCAGTACCTTCAGCTGAGTGGCTCCTTCTTCTAGCTTTTATTCCTACTTGGGCACTAAATTTATCCTTGAATTATGAAATTTAGTTTATTATTTCAAGTAGTTGCTCATTTCACAAACCCTTCACTGCTTCAACAGGCCTCAATTATAAGCATATATCTGTCTCTACACATTGCATGTAATGAAAGCGTAGTAAGCTTTATAGTTAGATCATCTCTGTTTATACTTATAAATCATAAACTATAAAGAAGTCAAATGGAGCAGGCCAGGAGAGCAGCAGTCATCCACAAACCTTTTAGATCCCTGATTTATAGACAGGACACATATTAGTTACTTAGTTATAGCAAAAATATTCTAAACACAAAAATGCCCTTTCATGGGGGAGTAGGGCTAAAACTTCCTGAAAACAAAACTGCCTCCTTCTCAGAGTTACCCTTTCTAGATATAAAAGATGGTATGAAGATAATTACACTTGTATTTATGTTAGATATTTTGTGCTTTTTCATACACTCATTAATTTGGTGTCCTTGTCTGTTGTCTTTGTGGCTTGTTGGATGTATGCAAGTCTCTGTCCAGCTAACTTCACTTCAAATGCAATGATAAGGAGAGCTCAATATTAGAACAAAGTACCTTTCCCAAAAGAATGAATTAAAGAAAAGACCGCTTTGTTCTGCAAATACTTGATTTCTACCACCACCTAATAATGGAGCAAAATGCTATTTATTTTCTGTAAAGCTCAAAATTATATTGAGAACCTTTACTTCCCAGACATCCTTTGACCACAAATGAGAAGAAAATTCAGAAAAAGAAAAAAAATAGCAAAAGCAGGAAGATTTTTACTTAGCAATTGAGAATTCTAACTTATACTCACATATACAAGTGGCAACAAGTCTCCTGAATTCATCCTTCAGAAAGGAACAGCCAAGATTATAGTTTTCAAAATGGGTCTTTTCTTCCAGTTGATTCAGTTAAATATTGATGTCTGATCTCTTCCATCTAGATCTTCACTAATGAAAGCATCATTGTCTGCTCAGCGATATACTAGGAACACCTTGGTAAAGGTTTTGATAGGAAAAAGGGTTAAAAGAGACCAATACAGAGTTTACAGATTATCTTTGTATGACTTTTCTGTGTTTATCATCTTCTCCACTTGCATGTATCACCACAGTTTCTTTCATCTTGTTCTAAAGGACTAAAATCTATTCTGTATGAAGATTTCTAAGCCTTGTATAAAATTTAATCAAACCTCCATGTTTCTGAAAAATGATACTAGATTTACAATTGTATACAAAGTAGCCTTTGTTGTTTGGTATTATTTAAACATTTGTTCAATGTTGAAACTTCCAAAGACAGATTGTTTAAGGAAAGACCAATCAGTGATTTTGTATGTTTTGTGTGTGAACATAGTTCACTAAACAGTAGCTTAATGGCTTTCAAGTATGTGCAATAACCAAAACTAAATGTCATCATTTTTATCTTCTGTAGGTCCTAAGGGAAGAGAGATCGAGCTTAATAAAAATATAAGAATAATTCGTAATTATAAAATTGATTGTATATATGGGCCGGCCCGGTGGCGCACTGGATAAGTGCGCCACTTAGGAAGCGCGGCGGCGCTCCCGCCCGAGGGTTCGGATCCCACATACAGACTGGTTCCCGCTCACTGGCTGAGCGAGGCGCGGGAGCAACACCGAGGGTTGCAATCCCGTTGCCGGTCCCCGGTCCGGTACGGGGGCAACACTGAGGGTTGCGATCCGTTGCCGGACACGGAAAAAGACAAAAAGACAAAAAAAAAAAAAAAAAAAAAAAAAATTGATTGTATATAAATGTGGGGGGGCATTAGAATAACTTTTTACTTTTTAAAAAATTTTTAAAAAATAAAAAATTTTTCTAATGCCCCCCCCCATTTTTATAAAAAAAATTTTTTTTTTTTTTTTTTTTTTTTTT